GGAAAGAAATTCAAACTTTCATGGCAGGATGGTCACTTTTAACCAATGGGTCTGCTTTAGATTGTGTAGGAACTGTAAATAACTGTCAAAGTAATGGTTGTCACCTAGATGCTGATCCTGTTACAAAGAATGGTGTTGAAGTCTTTGGTGATCGTAAGGATAGACTAAGATGCCTGTTTGATCTGGTTCTTTCTGGTTATCTAAAAGAGGTTGCTTGTAAGGGTTTTGTTAGACGTATGCCTGCAATGCTTGGAAACGATGGGCACTCACTAGATTTGCTCAAGCTTTTCCTTGTAGTTAGGGAGATTGGAGGTACGAGTTCGTGTCGCAAAAAGGGTTATGGGCTTTTGTGGTGAAAGAATTAGGGTTGGATCTTGAGGTTTCAGCTTCGGTTAAATTGATATATGCCAAGTATTTGGACGAGCTGGAAAAATGGTTGAGAGATAGTTTTGTAGATAGAAACGGGGAGGGTGCAGGTGGTGGAAAATTTAGGTTCTTGTCATTGGAGCAAGAGGAGGAGTTTAGGGGCTTGTTTACAAATGGGGTTGATCAGAAAGTGGTGGTAAACAGAGTGGCTCTATCGGAATATATAAAGAATGACAAGTGCATTGCCAAGGATTCCAAGAAGAATGGCTTGAAGATTTCCGATGCCAACAGTAGATATAGATTGCACAATGGAGGTGAGGAAGTGTTTAGTGATAATGACGAAAAAGTATGTAGAAATGATCTTGGGGTGCTGGATCCACCTCTTGTTAGGAAAGAATTTAGTACCCGTAAGAGAAAAAGAGAATCTTTAGCAGGAATGCTGAATTGGGTAACCCAGGTTGCAAAATGTCATGATGATCCCTCAGTTTGGGCAATAGCAGAGCCATCTAAGTGGAAAGACCATGGAGGCAATGAATTCTGGATACAAGCCATCAGGGCACGTGAAGCTGTAAGGCAGAAAAGGGACGATCATTCAGTCACTGAACAGTCTTTCTTGCGGGTAAAAATATTGTCATCTGTTAAATAGAGTTGTGAAATAAAATAAAATAAGTTTTTCGTCACTATGTTGTTGAAAGAATCCGAAATTTCCTGTTCCATCTGCAATTTTCATCATACAATTTTGGTAGAGCATCATTAGACCAACTTGGGTGGTATGAACTTGACTTGGCTGTTTCAAACATTGATCAATATAGATAGGAGTTTTTAAGACCAAAATCTTCAAAGTAAGTGAATTCTCAATATTTGAAACCTTTTGTTATCAAGGAAGAAGTTTGTAATGTGGATCTTACTCACACTACTGGTTCACATGGTAAATTGGGTTAGTTGTCAATTTTAAAGGCATATTGTTGTTTAAATTTGCAGAATAATCAAAAGATGCATCCATCCATGTATGAGGATGACTTCCTTAGTCACCATTTAGCAGAGAGGTCCAGATGCAGTGAGAAGCTTCCTACCACACAATCTTGTTCATGCTCTTGTTGCAGTTCTGATTCATCATTGCTGAAAAACTCAATGTGTCACCACAAGACAGAGTCTGAATGTGGCCTTAAGGAGCAATCCCCTGTAACTATTGACTCATCATCCTTGGATATGACTGCAGAGCCGTCAGGGGATGATTCTTTGAGAAGACAAGTGTCCGTGGTCTCCGCTTTCAAGCAGAAGTCCCTGAATGGACTGTATGGTTTCTGATACCGACTCTAAATGGCTAGGCACCCAGGATTGGCCCTTAAAAGGTGTTGAACATGGTCCCTTGGCTGTAAAGGATCCAATTGGTAGGGGAAGAGTGGATTCATGTAGCTGTCCGATTCCAGGCTCTGTTGAATGTATTAGACTACATATTGCTGAGAAGAGGATGAAACTGAAGCTCGAACTTGGTTCAGTGTTCTACCGTTGGAGATTTGGTGGGATGGGTGAAGAAGTCTCACTCCGGTGGACGGCTGAAGAAGAAAATAGATTCAAATATATGGTCCAATTAGAACCACCATCACTAAATGCATTCTGGCCTGGCGCATCCAAGTTTTTTCCCAAGAAGAGTAAGCAAGAGTTGGTAAGCTATTACTTCAATGTTTTTCTTATCCGGCGTAGAAGTTATCAGAATCGTGTGACTCCTAAGAGCATTGATAGTGATGATGATGAATCAGAGTTTGGATGCATAAGTGACGGTTTTGGAAGTGGTGCCGTAAAGGTTCCTGGCTCAAATATGCTGACATGTTCTCAAAATAATCAGTGCATTGACTGGGAATAGGATGAAGAGTTATTACATTGAACCACTGTTTGAATCAATAGTTGAATTTTACAATTTTCATTTTTCCTTTGTTTTTGTATTTACCATACAGCATCAATCAGGTCCCTCAAAATCTCCATGGGATAGGGTAACGAAACCAATGGTGCAGTTTTGAAATGTGCCGGGGTGGAATTTGGACCTGGATTGGTTCATTGACTCTGGTCAAAGAATTTACCAAATGTGCTAATGTACAGTACCTGTTTCAGAAGCTTTGTAATTTGCTCTTGCATCCCCGAATACAGTTATATTATTTCAAGTACCAACCCTGGGCAGAGGAATATGGAAGCGGGGAGTGAAAGATGCAGCTTCTGCTTCTCCAATTTTAACTTTCATTTTTCTTTTAAATGTTCACTTTACATGGCACTTGCCCTAATGAATTCATTCATTTGTATTTCAAGGTTGCATGAGTAGATCTCTTCTCCCAGCTATGCTGCTGCATTTATGTTTAATTGGCCTGCAGTTTTGGTTGAAAATCATACCAAACAGTTTCTGCTCCTGAATTCTCCTTTGTATGTAGTTATAATATTCTTTTGTAGACTAACATTGAAAACCAAATCTATACCAATTATAGCATTTCCACCTTTATTACTGAACCTTTGTTTCTAGGTGAAAACTATACCTGTAGAGGGCTTGCTCTGGAAGTTCATCTGAGTATATCATAAGGTGAAACTTAATAGGTGCAGAAGTGAGAACCCTTATTCCAGTCCAACTATGCGTGCAAGTTTCTGAAACAGACATGACCATTCAATTAGCTTTTCCAAGTACACTCTTTATCAGGGTTGATCCTAAAGGAATAACAGGACATATAACTTCCATGTCTCATCCCATGTCACCTTTTTCCTTGGTCGGAAAGTGGAAAAGTAGAGAAAGTTGGTAATACTCCACGATATAAAGAAAATCCTTCTTGAGAACAAAAGAAGGCTAAGTAAAGAACTTGCATGATTCACTGGCTTGTCTTTCTGTGGCATGAATATAAGAAATGCCATTTTCTTTTTCCTACTGTTTTCGGATAAACTATTGCAGTAAAGAAGTGTGAAAGCAAGAGGAAAAGAAACAAATAAATTAAAAGGGCGAGACGTACATGGCAGGCAGTCGGTGGAGTTGCAGCTCGACGGAAGGATATCCACAGATTACAAGGAGGTAGCGTGCTGAGAGGGATCAGCAGGTGATAATAAATAATCAAAACAATGAAATATGCTAAAATGATAATAATAATAATTTCTCTGAACTGTTTAGATGGCGGCAACTGAGGCAAGCAACAGATTACAAAAAAAAAAAAAGAGAGAGAAGGTAATAAGTACTGGCAATATTGAATCTTGGTGCTGCAATCGATAATGTTTCTTTCTTTCCTGCATCATCTTAATCTTAATCTTAATTAATAATTCATGAATAATTAGTTAATACCCCCAAGCTAACAAGTTCTTGGATATTCCCCATAATTTATCAAGAATGCATGTTCATAACCCAATCTGAAGCTCTAAAACCATTTGTCCAATAATCATAACAAACAAATGAATGTAACAAGACATAGAGGAGATAACAGTCTAAAGTGAGAGACATGGTGGGTGTGTTTAAACAACAGGAGGTTTGAATACACATGTTTCAATTCCAAGTCCACATCCTACTTTACTTCACTCTTTTTGTAACCAAACCGTGTGTAGTGTCTGACAAGCAATAATGGAGAATTAGCTGGAGGCCGCCCTTCTTCAAATAAGATCTCCTGATCATTCCCCTTTTTTTTTTGGGCGGTTCAAATGGCTTTGGCAGGCCATAACCCTTTTTTTCCCTCTCTTTTAGAAGGATTTTGTCCAAGATTTGCATCAAAGGCATATTGCTTTTGTCAAAGGAAACAGCGGTATAAACAAAATCGTAACATTGTATTTCTTCCATTACATTAAGACAACAAGTGATGGTCTGATTCCATAGTAATTGGATTTTTCAGGGTTTTAATCTTGTTTTGTGTCGTTTATTGTATTTGGGTAATTTTTTGTAAATCACTTCTTAATAACGAAATTATTATAGTTACCTTTTAAGAAAAAAAATAGACACTTTAATTAAATTTATATTTACAGTTCATATTTATTGTTAAATATTTTCGATCATAATTTTAATAAATTAATATTAATATCAATTTTTTCGTGAACAAAATATCGAAACATCACAATGTAAAATCAATGTAATTCCATTCTATGATCGAAACTTAATTGTCAATCATAGTCTTCTTTGAAGCTTCACTTTCTATTTTTAGATAACAATATTTTGCAACTAATTTTGCCATCCATCCATCCTTTAAAATTTTGCATTGTCCCATCAAACGGTTGCTGTTTACTTTGATATTCCACATCAGGGCTTTTTTAATTAATTTTTACTTTTATTTTATGTTATGCTGACCTAGTTGTTTACTAAGTAATAGAGTTTAGATTCTCTGTAATTTGCCACATAAAACAAAAACATCTTCATTTATTTATTTTTCTTAATTAAGCAAGAAGATTAATGTGGAACCACCTTACATATTTATAGATATTGAACAAGTACAATACACACAAAATACAACTAAGAAAATAATAATAATTAATAATAATATCATACCATTTAAAGTTAAAAATCTAAGCCAAATTTACAGTCTTTGCATGGTAAAAATGAGTAAGTTACTGGGTTTGGAATAGAAATTACTGCGGTGAGTGCACATGTCTATATAAACTCCTGGATTCACTCATTGATGTCCGAACTACTTTTGGGGTTGCTTTTCTTTGTGAAGGCATTTCTCTTCTCTTTTTCCTCTCTCCAAAAACCCATACAGAAGGAAGAAAAAAAGAAAAAGAAAAAGCAAAAAAAAAAAAAAAATGTCTTCTCCAAGCAAACGCCGAGAGATGGACTTGATGAAACTGTAAATTTGCTTTTTTGTTTCTGGGAAAAATTATTTATCTTTATCTTTGTTTTTGTAAAATTTGATTTTTATTTTATTTTTTTTGGGTTTTTGGTTGGATTGATTTTCACTAGGATGATGAGTGACTACAAGGTGGAGATGATCAATGATGGCATGCAAGAATTTTATGTTGAATTCAATGGACCAAAAGAAAGTAAAAATCCCTTCTTTACCCTCTTCTTCTTCGGCTTTTTCATTCATTTCTATGATCTGTCTCTTTACTTCTGCTCAAAATGAAAATTTCTTTTATGCTCCCTTTCTGGGTTTTTTTAGTTCTTTTCGAAAGTTCATTTTTTTTCCCTTGGAAGTATGTTGACCATGTGCTAATTGTGATTGAGTTTTCTCTTTTGATGATTTTGATTCTTGAAGATTAATATCTATATTTGTTCTTGTTGGCCAAATCAATCTAAAGTGGAATCTATTTTAATAATTTGTTCTTATCTGAGCTCCACTTTTTTTATTTGTTGTTTATTTAGTTCATTGAATTTTCTGAATGAGGATAGGCTTTCTTGGTAGATTTTGCTTCTGGGTATTTTTAGACAAGAACCTGGACAGTATGGTTGTTTTCTTTTTCTCACAGATAATCTTATATGGAATATGACAGGTCCTTATCATGGAGGTGTGTGGAAGATAAGGGTGGAGCTCCCAGATGCTTATCCTTATAAATCACCATCAATTGGTTTTGTAAACAAGATCTACCACCCAAATGTTGATGAAATGTAAGTTTGTGGATGTTGAAAAATTCTAAATTTCACTGCGTTAGCTTTGTCTTAGTGTGTTAACTTGTATGAGGTAATTTAGAAAGAGTAATTGGTTTACTTATAAATGCTGTATTACTATTAATTAAAATAACTTTGGACTCTGAGTTTCAGGTCTGGCTCAGTTTGTTTGGATGTCATCAATCAGACTTGGAGCCCCATGTTTGGTAAACCTAGCACATTGTTTGTTTTCCTCACTCTTTCTTGTTTTAAAGTTGCTGCTGTTACTTTTGGAATTTGATAATCAATTCAAATTGTTGTTTTTCCCCTAATGTTGAATTTCAGATCTGGTAAATGTGTTTGAAGTGTTCCTTCCTCAACTCCTTTTGTATCCCAACCCATCAGATCCATTGAATGGAGAAGCCGCTGCTCTTATGATGCGCGATCGTACTGCCTATGAACAAAGAGTGAAAGGTAGCATTTCTGCATAAGCTTTAATATTCTATGTATGTGTTGCTTTTCTCTTAAGAATGCCCAGTTCAAAAGTTAAGGTATTTATTTGAATTTCTTGCTTTTCTAAAGCCAATTAAGTGAATGTCAGAAAGTGTGAGCTTACAATAAGTTTTCTTGACCACCAATTTTTTGAAAGCAATTACATGAGATCATAAATCTCAGGTGTAAGGAGCATGAAATCGTTTATATAATGTTTGTAGTCCTCGATGTTTGAAAATTGCTTGCCCAATACAAACATTTCTTTGTTCTGCATTCAGAACTTTTACTTATTTGTGTTTCTAGCCATTTGCACCATTTTTTTTTTCTGTCCATACCATTTGAGGGGGATATTTGTGGATCATTTGCTTTTCTTTTCAATTTTTGATATCCTTGCTATAAGACCTGCAAATTCTGTTTCTATTTGGTGTTTTTTTTGTATGTCATTTGGCAATTTCACTTTAGAATAGTCATGTATATTGAAATCAAGTGGAATATTTTTACTCATTTGTGACCATATGAAAATTTTTTACTGCATCATTTACTCTTTGATTCTTTTTAACATGTCTTGAGTGTTTCAGAAATCATTCCTTGTTTGTAATTTCATCTACTGCTTGAGGAAGACTTTATTGTGAGTTTCTTTGCAGAGGTGTTATTGTACGACGCAGATAACATAGAGTACTAAAGTTACTGTAAATTTAATTTTAGTGGCAACTATAAGACGACTTGGGAGGATTCAATCCAACATTAATTCAACTTATCAGTTAAGGAGAATTACACCTTAAGGGCTTGGAGATATCTAGTTTATCCTGTTGCAATCTTATAAACTGTTTGACCAATACTTGAAAGAGAACTGAATCCAAAGCTTGTTATCTATTGTCATGGCAGTCCTTTGACTGTAATTTGGCTACTGTTTTGATGTGGGATTAGAGAGTATGGTAGAGTTCAGAAGTTTTTGTGTCTGTCGTTAGAAAGGGGAGGTTGCAGCTTTAAAAGAATGCCATTTTCAGTCAAAATACAATAAATAGTAGCTGGCAGTAGACCCACTTGATCTATTTGTTGTGGCTATACCATCTCACCTACTTTCTCAGTTCTTTAATATGTTTTCCTTAAAAGGTTATCAATTCAGCTCACTTGTAATAAGTTGTGGCATACCAATTTTATCATCCATGACAAGATGCAAAGAGGTTTAGGGGCATTGCAATTATTGTTCTTTCAAAGTGTGATCTGCAATTTTGCTTCTGCAGCGACGTGATTCCTTTTCCTCCTTTGAATGTCGTTTTAAGGATGCAATCATTGCAATGCTTAAGACATTTTCCATTTCGCAGAATATTGTGAGAAATATGCCAAGCCAGAAGATGTTGGAGCAGTGCCAGAGGAGAGGTCCAGTGATGAAGAGCTGAGTGAAGATGAATATGCTGCCTCCGATGATGAGGAAATTGCTGGAAAACCTGATCCTTAGGCACATAATATGCCTCCCTAGAAAAAATTGTCTGTGTTGTACATGATATTCAGCTCCAGGAAAATTTGAACTCGCCAAAACTGGGGGTATATGGAAAAATTCCTGCCCCTCTGTCTTTATTTTCCATGGATGTTGTGTAAATTAACCAACTGTTGTTTAATATTTCAAATATTCATCCACTATTGGAGACTAAGAAGCTGTTTGCTTAATCGTGTGCGTGCATGCATGAATTGAAATTTACACCTGCGAATGTCCTTGTCGACACTTGCATTAACACCTTGATTGAGGTGATCTTTGAAATCTTCTCACGTTTTCCTGCTGCAGCAGCCTACCAAAAGCTTATCTGACTGCACATTGCATCGTACTTAGAATTCAACCCTGTGATGGCTGCCAAGGGAATTCATATCCCCCACGTCTTTCTTTACGTACGTGAGGGTGAAAACCACTAGCGTGGCATCTGATTGCTATACAAGTGTTGATTAGTTAGGTCAATCTGATTTTGCGAGTCATTAGGCAGTTTGAGAACCAGACTTTGACATATATTCTTCTTGTGAGCTTTTGATGAGACTGGCAAATGGTTGGTGGTAGGTAAGAAACTATGTCCCTGCATTTGTTTGCATGTGGGTCTTTACAATATTTATCTTTTCACATATCATTCTACCTTCCTAATGCTTACACTTAAGATGGTAATGTATAAGAAAATATTCAGTACATAGATGAAATAAAGTAATAAATTTTATAAAGAGGGTTTACCCAATTGGCATGGTGGCCCCTATAGCTCAGTGGTAGAGCGTCAGTCTTGTAAACTGAAGGTCCGTAGTTCGATCCTGCGTGGGGGCATAATTTTTGTTTTAAATGATTAACAGAATCTTTGATGGATCTTTATTCTTCTCAAACTCACTTTCTGACAAAAGTGGGCTCAGTTCAGAATCTGTACAAATGCATGAAAGTAGTAACACCACACACCAATACTGACAAAACACACTCCTCTTGGCCCTTACACTGCGCTCCTTTCAATCATTGCATCCCCAACCTGCCAATTTCCTGAAAAGGAAAGCCCAACTCCTTTCCTTTCTCCTTCTCCATCCCCATCTCCCCCTTTTTTCTGTTTCCTCAAGTTTTTCTATATATATATAATATCAACTCTTCTTTATTAAATAATATATAAATTAGATGTGAATATTTAATTCATTAATTAGTGAATGATTACTATTTAATAAATAAATTTCTCTATTGTTTTAAAAAAAATTATGAACCATCTCAATACAAAACCCAACAATCTAAGCCCAATAAGAACACCTCGATGTGCTGTCGATCGCATTTTTGGGCCCAAAGTTCAAACCCATTAAAAAGGATCGTTTATCGAGAGAGGAACAGCCATGTTTTCTTTTCATCAAATCTTAAAAACCCCAAAATGAAAATCGACAGCGACAGATCCTCTTAATTAAAAAATATTCTAGTAGTACTTGTCCCCTGTTCACCAATAAGAGAATTACACGTATATTTTTAACTATCATAATTATTATTTTTGAAACCAGAAAATAAATATCTTGTGTGTGGGTCACCGTTTTTTTGGTTCTATCCGACGTTTTTCAGTTCCAGAAAGCCTCTGTTTTCCTCTTCATCTGATCATCAAATAGGTAAAATCATTGCAATCTATTTCCCTCAAAATTTAATACAAGTCTACTTTTTAAAGCATGTATTCCCCAGAAACTATCCTTATTTTATTATTTATTTACATTTTTTTCTTGAATTTTCTTGTCCATAATATTGTTTTATCCATATATCCTTTTTTTTATATATATATAAGAACCCTCCCCTGTCGTGTGTCTCTGTTTCAGTGCTCTGTTTTCCTCTTGTGGGTTATCACTGATTTAGGGTTTTTTGCCATTTCTGGGTATCTAATCTTTCATTTTATTCAAAGTAGAAACTCTTTTGATTATTTTATCTCATAGTGAAACAGTGTAGTTTATAAAATATAGGGGGTATTGTTGATTTTGAATGGCTCGGTTGATTCTTCCTTGCAAAAGTTCGTGTTTGGCAAGGACCAGTCTTTTGGGTTTGATCTCTTCTGCTCCTGTGATTATCCAATCCCCATTTCTTCTTTAAGAATACGTCTTTGTTTGCTTATATGGATTCCAGTTGTTTGCCGTCGAAAGTCTTGGTTTTGAATTCATTATAACGTGTTAAATTGCATTTGGATTGGTATTTTTGTGGGTCGCTTATAGGAGATTGTATACATTTTACTGTTTCTTTACACCTTTGCTTCTGATTATGCAATTATGCATGCACATACGTGCATACATAGACTATTTCTGGCAAGTTGAAGGGTGATTGTGAAATGCTAATTTTGGTAGGATGGATTGTTTCTAGAATCTTTCTACCTGACTGTTTGCTTATTTTGCAGCTTCAGGCTAAAAGTAGTGTTAGTTCCTTTCGAAGTTCACCGAAGAATATCTCTTGGTATAGGTGCTTCTCTGCTTTAGAGGTGTGCGCATTTTCTTAATTCTCTAATATAGAGTGTACATTGGTCCCTTTTTTTTGGAATGATAATTTTTTATCTTGGCATTATGCATTTGTAGCTTGAAATTATCTTTCTTAATCCTTTGTGTTTTTTTTTTTTTTTGGTTTAGGCCACTGGTAGAAGGAATTACTGGTTTCCGCATTCTTCACCATATGTAAGTTGCTATGCTTTGTATTTAACCGTTTTGGCTCTATTCTATTGAGTATTGACACATATTTACATGCAGGCATATATATGAAGGCCTGTAATTAGTACATACTATTGTCAAGGTTTACATGGATGTCTCTTTCATGGATTATGATGTTGTCTTTTATGGTTGCTTATGTCCTTTTATGGATTTGGCTAAATTGTTTCAGAGGGCAAGGCAAGCTAGCAGAAGGCTGCTTTGTTCAGTTGCGACAGAACCTCTACCTAAGCAAGTTGAAGAATCCAAAATGGACGCTCCTAAAGAAATCTTTCTGAAGGACTACAAGTCTCCTGATTACTACTTTGATACGGTATATATTGCAATTAATTAAATTGGAGTATGCATCAGCTAGGATTCTGAAACCTTTTATGTGGCTTTGGCTTGTGCTTCCTCTTCCTTATGAAAATGGCATTTCAGGTGGATTTGAAATTTTCACTGGGTGAGGAGAAAACAATTGTTGCTTCAAAAATAACTGTGTTCCCCAGGGTTGAAGGTATTGTTATCATTATTCTTTGCCTCTAATACATGACACCATCATTATTGGACCATGTCTCTGATTTTGACGCTGCTGGCACAAAGTATTGTTCTTTCTAAGGGGTAATTCACATCTGGGCTCTGCATTATTCTTCCATGGGAATCCAGTGCTCAAGTTTTATGTTAGAAAATTCCTTCTTGTCATTATTCTTTTATTGTATGCTAATGTACCTTGTAGAGCAGGTTCTTCTTCTCCATTGGTTCTGGATGGGGTGGATCTAAAGCTAATATCGATCAAGGTCAATGGCAAGGAACTGAAGGTATACCATATATTGTAACTTTCTCAAAGTAGCCTTGGTGCCATAATTACTGAATGTGATTCTGAAGCTATAATGTTTTAACGTGATATGTAAGCTGTACTGTTTTTATTATCTTTTGTGTTGGAAATTTGGTTTTGGTTTCTCAGTGATTTACTGCAATATGTTTATTTTGTCATTTGCAGGAGGGAGATTATTACTTAGACCTGCGCCATTTGATACTTCCATCAGCACCAAGTGGTAAATTCACTTTGGAAATTGATACTGAGATACAACCTCAGAAGAACACATCATTAGAGGTGAAACATTATTTATTATTTTGGTTCCATAATGTACAATATTTTTCCCTAACAACCATGTTATAAATTTATTTTTCTTACTCTAGGGGCTTTACAAGTCATCTGGGAATTTCTGTACACAATGTGAAGCAGAGGGTTTCCGAAAAATTACATTTTATCAGGTTAAGATATTGAAACATATATTGGCTTTAAGTATTTTCATTTTGATGTAAGAATCTGTTTTATACCTCATTGACATGTTTAATTTGCTAACAGGACCGTCCTGATATAATGGCAAAATACACATGCCGTATTGAAGCTGATAAGTCATTGTACCCAGTACTGTTATCTAATGGAAATCTCATAGAGCAAGGAGCCTTAGAGGCAAGCTTCACTTATTATGGCAGTCTCTTTTTGGTTGATTGTTAATGTTTTTCATTGTTTGTTTTTCTGGATCCATTGCAGGGTGGCAAGCATTATGCTGTATGGGAGGATCCCTTTAAGAAGCCATGTTACTTGTTTGCCTTAGTAGCTGGCCAATTGGAGAGCAGAGATGACATATTTGTTACCCGCTCTGGCCGACAAGTGTCGCTAAGGATCTGGACCCCAGCACAAGATGTACCCAAGACTGCACATGCCATGTATTCACTTAAAGCAGCTATGAAGTGGGATGAAGATGTGAGTCTTTATATCCTTAGATGGTTTTTGTTGTGCTATTGAGATTATTTCATTTGTATATTTCTAAATCTTATTATTTCATAGGTTTTTGGTCTTGAGTATGACCTGGATCTCTTCAATATTGTTGCTGTTCCTGATTTTAACATGTAAGATGCATTCTTTCTTTGATAGAAATCAAACATTTGATATACATGTTCTATCCGTTACTTCGTTCCTGGTTTATTTTATGGTGTTTATATCTGTCAATACCAATACTTTTTGTTCTTTTTCTGATGTAGGGGAGCCATGGAAAACAAGAGTCTGAATGTATGTCTTCTGGCTTATCTAGTCATCTATATCAAATATTTTACTGTTCCATCTTGTTGAAAATATGTTTCTATTGTGCATCTTAGATTTTCAATTCAAAGCTTGTTTTGGCTTCTCCGGAAACTGCTTCAGATGCTGATTATGCTGCAATTTTGGGTGTTATTGGTCATGAGGTTTGTTTTGGATATCAATAGAAAATGCCTTGTCACACATTTGTTTTAGATGTATCTTATATGATTTTACTTGATTTTATTTCTTTCTGTCATGCAGTATTTTCACAACTGGACTGGCAACAGGTTGGTTGATATCCCATTTAAGCTTATTGTTTATTCTAGAATTACATTCTTTGTTGTTGTTCCTTTCTGTTTTGTGATTTGTTTTTTGAGTACCGTTCTGTCTTAGATGTGTTCTTGATCATTGGCATAATGTTTAACATCTATGTTTTAATTTTGTTTTGCAGAGTTACATGCCGAGACTGGTTCCAGCTCAGCTTGAAGGAGGGTCTCACTGTTTTCCGTGATCAGGTATGATGCTTCAGTTGCCAAGGGGGTAAATGTAGCCTAATTGCAGCATGCTTGTGTTTATGGTTGTAAGTAATCTTGTGTTGTTGGTAGGAATTTTCATCTGACATGGGAAGCCGTACAGTAAAGCGGATTGCTGATGTTTCAAAGCTTCGAAATTATCAATTCCCACAGGTTCTTTATGTTTCTTGCATGACTTGATATTGACCTCATATCCGGTTATATGAGCAATTACATTGCAACTACTCTAAAAATCTACAAACATATCCTTAGTATGTGACATACTTGAGTGCTGACTTACCTCTGTTTCCCAATTGTTCAGGATGCTGGTCCCATGGCTCATCCTGTTAGGCCTCATTCTTATATTAAGGTCTTAAAATGTCTCCTTTATTATTGGCCTTTTCTTTGAGTTCTCACGTTCACTTTAGCTCTCAAAAGTTTTTGCTTCTAAGCTGTGTTAACTTGTTCCCCCTTTTTCCTTTTGACAGATGGACAACTTCTACACAGGCAAGTTTTTGTTGTATCTAATAGAAATGTGTAAATGGGTTCATGGATCACTTTCCTCTCATTATATTTAAATTTGACATCCTTTTTTAATGTGTGAGTGTTTGGTTTTGTTGCATGATCTTGTTGTATATGATTCTGATACTGTGTTCCCAACAACTGCAGTGACGGTAAGGCCTAGCAACTTGCATTCGTGTCTTTTTCTATTTTGTTTTGGTTTTTCTTTGACAAGTCCTCTAATTTTCCCGGTGTTTTTCTTGGTCTTTTTGTTTTCTTTTTCACAGGTTTATGAAAAGGTTTGAATATCTTTCCAAGAATCTCGCTTGTTTACATATGTTTGTGGGCAAGAACTATATTAACACATCAATAATTTATCGTTATAATTTAACTTACCAGGGAGCTGAAGTCGTGAGGATGTACAAAACACTCCTGGGGACCCAAGGGTTCCGAAAGGTAAAATTTTAAGCATGTTTATGAGTCTGACTTAAGTGTATATGTGAAGTTGCATATCTTGGAAAATTTTGTTGATATGACTTGCTCATTTTTCAGGGCATGGATCTTTACTTTGAAAGACATGATGGTCAAGCAGTAACTTGTGAAGACTTTTTTGCTGCCATGCGAGATGCAAATGATGCTGATTTTGCTAATTTCTTGCTTTGGTATGGATCAGTTATCTCTTCATTCTAGTTACTATGTCTATCTGCTAGTTTTGATGCTTATGCTTTTGAAACTCTCAGGTATTCACAAGCTGGGACTCCAGTAGTAAAAGTTACTTCATCCTACAATGCCGATGCTCATACTTTTTCTTTAAAGTTTAGGTATACAAACTGTAAATTTTGTTGCTAGAATGATCAATGTTTTTGGCTGAAAGACTTTGCTGCTGACTCAATTTGGCATTTTCACAGCCAAGTGGTCCCCCCAACTCCAGGACAGCCTGTTAAAGAACCTACATTCATTCCCGTGGCAGTTGGTCTACTGGACTCAAGTGGAAAGGACATGCATCTATCCTCTGTGTATCATGATGGGACACTGCAGTCTGTTGCAAGCAACAATCAGCCAGTCTTCAGTACTGTTCTTCGCGTAACTAAGGTAAGTTGAGAATCTTCCTGTGCTCCATTTTCTTATCTCTAAGAGACTTTTATTGTGGAGGAGGAAAAGGCACTGAACTTGCACCTTCCTTTGGATGTCTGAACACCTCCTGGAAAGCGAAAGACCATGACTAGAGAAGCAAACTGTTGCCAAGCTGACATATTGACATGTAGGCAGCTAGTGTCTGTCACATATTCTTATGTTTTCTGATTTTCATTTGTTGTTGGTGTGGAGCAGAAAGAAGAAGAATTTGTGTTCTCTGATATATTCGAGCGGCCAATTCCATCACTATTGCGAGGTTATAGTGCTCCTATCCGTCTTGAATCTGATCTCTCTGACAGTGATCTATTTTTCCTACTTGCACATGATTCGGATGAGTTCAATCGGTTTGTCTTTCTTGAAGCATGAATACTTTAATCTAATAATTGAGGAATATATGAGATTTGTTCACTTGATGATTTTTTATTTTAGCTGGGAGGCTGGACAGTTGTTGGCCAGGAAGCTCATGCTCAGCTTGGTTGCTGATTTCCAACAAAACAAACCATTGTCCCTGAATCCCAAATTTGTTGAAGGTCTTAGAAGCATACTTTGTGATACAAGCTTGGATAAGGTAATGATGATAGTTCTCTTGCTGGAAAATATGAGATCCTCATTGTTTTAATTTTCCCCCCATGTTTGAATGAAGAGTGGGTGTTGTGCAATTTATAGAAATGAACTCAAATTCATTTTTAACTGCCTTTTGTTATCCAGGAATTTATTGCAAAAGCAATAACTCTCCCTGGTGAAGGGGAGATTATGGATATGATGGAAGTTGCTGATCCTGATGCTGTTCATGCTGTTCGAACCTTCATTAGGAAGGAACTTGCATCACAACTGAAATCAGAGTTTCTAAGCACAGTATGCCATATGCAGTCGACTTATATAAACAAATCTTTATTTCTTTCCTTTTATGAATACCTGTTTTGCAATGGACTTATTTTTTTTGCGCTTTTTCTTTTCCTTCTTGGCACTCTAACAGGTTCAGAACAATAGAAGCTCAGAAGTGTATGTATTTAACCATCCTAACATGGCCCGGCGTGCTCTCAAGAATACTGCTCTTGGTTTGTATTGCTTGAATTGTATATTTGCTAGATTTGTATAGTAAAGTTTCCATCATCTAACTGCCTTACATTTCCTATTTCCAGCATATCTTGCATCCCTTGAAGATCTCAAGATGACAGAGCTTGCACTGCATGAGTATAATACTGCCACAAATATGACAGAACAGTTTGCAGCTTTGGCAGCCATTGCCCAGAAGCCTGGTAAGACTCGTGATGATGTTTTGGCTGACTTCTATAGCAAGTGGCATCATGATTTCCTGGTAAATATCCAACTCAACTTCCCTTTACCTTCCAGAATCTAGTTTGAACTTCTCCCACTTGGATAACCTCATTTTTGCTTCTTTGTTAGGTTGTAAACAAATGGTTTGCGCTTCAAGCCATGTCTGACATTCCTGGTAATGTTGAGAATGTTCGCAACCTTTTAAATCATCCAGCCTTTGACTTGCGTAATCCAAACAAGGCAAGTGATCTTTCTCTTTCTCATGCATGGCACATGCCTAAACATATGATAGTGCCTTTTCTCTTCAGCTTAAATTTGAGCATTGCAATGAATGTGGGTTATTTTGTGAATATAGGTATACTCCCTCATTGGTGGATTTTGTGGATCTCCTGTGAATTTCCATACCAAGGATGGTTCAGGCTACAAGTTCTTGGGTGAAATAGTAGTACAACTTGACAAGCTAAATCCTCAGGTATGTTAATAAACCCAGTCTCTCTCCCTCTGTTCTTTTGTGTGAAACACGAAATACTGTTGTCCTCTTGTCGGATTACTTCTCTTCTGGATGGGATTGTCACTTTCTCTTGCTGTTCTTCAGTAACTTTTTTCCTCTCTATCTGTTGCAGGTGGCCTCCCGCATGGTGTCAGCCTTCTCAAGATGGAGGCGTTTTGACGAAAGCAGGCAAAAACTTGCCAAGGTAATAAACATCATAACTTAGAGGATAAACTACAAAATGATTCATTTCCTTGTTCTATGCTGGATTAGAATACTAAAAACTTGCATGATGTTTTGCAGGCACAACTGGAGATGATCATGTCTGCCAATGGATTATCAGAGAACGTATATGAGATTGCCTCAAAGAGCTTAGCTGCGTAAATGCCTCAATAATATGTCTTTCAATGCATTTTAATTATGATATAGCACCGTATTAGAATAATGTGCTATACCATGGGACTTGTTTTCTTTATTCCGGTGACTGGAGTTGAACAAAGACCCATAGATTTTGAATAGAAACTGCCTTAATTATGATCCAAACTATGTACCTGCCTTTGTTCACATGTTGGATTATTCCCGAAATTTAGTTGGATTTAGTGGGATCTGACAAAAAATTCCCAAGGCAAAATTGAATCAAATCCATTGTAATGGTAATAACTATTGTGGGTCAAATTCTGCCTGCTTCACGCCGGAGAACCAGAGGAGCATAGGCCCATAACCGACTAGGAAAATGTCTGTTCCGCACAGCGGTCAATTCTCACGTGTAAACCCATGCTGAAACTACGTGAAGACACGTCACTTCTTTCCTGTCGTCTATATTTAATTTAATTTAATTTACTTCAATTACCACCACGGAGATCGGTATGAATCCCAACGGGTACCAAATTCTTCCTATTCCGAAATTAACAATTAGGTAGACAAGCATAAACTCAAAAACCTTCTCTTGTACCCTTTTTTCCCTCTCAATAATAGTATTAAGGTAATAATTATTTTTGCGTGGGGTTTGGAATTTTTCTTTTTTCAATTTTTTTTTAAAAAAAGAAATTATGTTACTATGTAAAATGCCATATTTTGCGTCAAAAATGTCGAAACATGTGCATTTCTAAGGAGGGCTAAGCCCTAGTCATAGCATCTACGGTGAACCACGTGCAAGCACAAGCCACCGTGCGATGCGAAGACTATTGCCGGTGGCCTACAAAATCATGGAGGTCAACGCCAACGACCCTAACGATTTAAGATTTGCAGCAGTACCCCCGTGGATCGGGGTCCCACTTTTGTTCACCTAAAATTTTTTTCCTTTTTCTTAAATTCTACCATCCAATAGCCATCGCCTGGTTTGCTCACATGCCGAATCACACGTGTCGACCATTTAGCCAACAAATAATGTATTGAAGGGTTCAAAATCCACTTCCTTTCTTTTACGTATTCACCTTCCTTCTCTTCACTTTCCTGCAAGTCTTTTTCTCTTTGCCTAAGTTAGGTCTCGGGTCTTGTCTTCATCGTCATCAGCTCTTGGACTTTAAATAAATATTTTTCTTAGTAGTTAACATATTTGAAGATCTTCGATTTGTCTATTACTAATTTTTGAATTTTCGATTGGAGATAATATTGAAATTCATCCTTTTTTTCAAAATACTTGCATTATTTAGAGGAAATTTTAATTTCAAAATATGTGAATATATTTACATATTTATTAGTAACACGTTCGAAAGCTTTGATCATATATTATTATTATTATTTTATTATTTTATAATAATAAATTATAATATGATACGTTTAATTTTATATGTTAAAATGTAAAAAATAAATTTATTTAAATTTAAATGGTAATCATATTTACATTTAAATGTCTCTTTTAAGAATGTGTAAATACTTATTTCTTTGATAGGTGAGATAAGTATCTTGTTTAAACTGTTTATGTATATATGATGTATTAGTATCGTATAATTAATCTATGTAATTTAAATTTTTAAATGATGACTTTTATTAGGTAAAATTATTGAAAATTCTTGTGAAAAGATTTCTACACCGAATTACGTGATAATCTAGTTCCATACTTATATCTAGAACGCAACGACCTCTTTTCCTTTTGAAAAAGCTCCTCAAATCTGCCTACCATGAAAGATAAATAGAAAAGAGAGAATGATTGTGAGACAGTAAAAAAGATTAAGAGAGATACTTGCCTTTGTTTGACCTAAAAGGTTGACTTGAAGGGTCCAATAATAATAATTGGGAAATGACAAAATGAGCAACTTAAATGAGAGGACTTTGCAATCATGCTTACGTATATCATGATCCTGCAGATTTTCTGCTTGGTCAAAAGTATGCCATTGCTTTTTTAGCACAAACCATTGATTCATTCTTACCTTATATTTCTTTATCCAGGCTTAATCCTTGTTTAAATTTGCCTAATCTCTATCAAGCTTTTAGTGACTCATGATCATTTGATTTGCACCTTAATTAATCAAACACTAATTACATTACATATCCCCAAGAGCACTTTCAAATAAGCCGCTTTAATCATTTTTCCTTTTCCCCCCAGAATCATTCACCGGCCACACCATGTGGGGGCTCTGTTTCTCTGCAAATGGCCTGACCATGAACCCAGACAAAACTATGCCTAAAGCTCAAGGCTTTATTGTGTGAAACATCTAGGTTTTTTCACCATTCCGGGGCCCGAGTGGGAAGCTTTGGATGATTAGGCTTTTTAGCATAAAGATGTAACTCAACAATATATAAAGTAAAGCCCTTTATCAATGAAAAGGAAATTAAAGCTACCCATAAAGGTGTAAAGATCCCCATAGCCTCATAGTGTGAAAAGTTTAATACTAGTATAGAGTGAAAATCATACATGTAAAGTGTCAAAGCTAGCTAGTTCTTACAACCAAAAGGCACTTTTCCTGCTGTCCAGATTAAAAAGAATGAAGGAAAGGGCATGAACTTTCAGGCATGGATTTCACAAAGATTAAAAGAAAGGGTAGGTAGCTACTACCTAGCTAAGCTAGGTAAGCATACACATAGTGAAAAAAAATATATCATATGCAAAGAGTCAAAATAAGATTAAAAAAAAGGTAGTCTTTGCAATATTGTGAAGGAAATCATGAGATGAGACCTTGTCGGCATAAACTTCACAAAGATCAAAGAAGAGGGTATAAGTTGTATGTAATAAATTCAACTTGTCAAACTATCAACTATACATGGTCAAAGAAACATTAAAAAGTTTTAATCTCTTTTTGCCCTTAAAAAAGGGATAAATCATTAGACTCTTAAAAAGAAATTGGAATCATTATTATCCTTAACTAATCTCAAAAGAAGGTTAAAACGGAATAACTCTTTGAGTTAATTTCTGTGAAAGAAAGGGTTAAACAAAAGGAATAGGTTGAAGGCGAGAAGAAGAGAAGGGAAGAGGGGCAAGTGAGAAAGGTGGGACAGACAGTGGGAGTTAGTTGGAGTGGCGGGTAAAGGGGGAGAATTTCAGAGGAGGAGAAATGGGACCCGCCAGACCCCACCTTCCCTTTTTTCTTTTTCTTCTTCCCTAATCATATATTTTCGTATTTTCACGTATGCAGTGTGGGGTGTGCGCACGAGATCGAAAAGCCATCACGAAGTGGATGCGCACACGTGCACACCTTGGACAAAAACCTTTCTTAGTTTTCTCCCTCCCACTAAACAAAACGCTAAGTGGATTAATTAATTTATTATGTTTCGTTTCGGGATGTTAGTAGTTGTCCCTTTCATTTGACTAATCTACCCTCTTTCCCTTGTTTCAAGGGTATACATATTTATGCAAGAAAATGAGAAGGGCAAATAAGTAAAAAGGATGTAATAATCTGAGGTGCCTATAGACATTAGGCTAAAGTCGGGGGTTCTTCGATAAACTCAGAGAAATCAAGTCATTGCCGTGTTTGACCTCGAGAGCGTTTGCTTATACACATATTTCACACAATATTAATATTCGCAACCCAAAAAAAAAAAAGAAAATGAAAAATGAATTTCTTATAAACAATAATTAACAAATATAAAGGGGAGATTTAGATTTAAGAATTTAAAGATTTGATTTTTCTTTCTGTGTTTTTCATCTCTGATTTCTTCATCGATAAATCACAGCTTCCTTGCTTCTCTGTTTCTTTCTCTTTCTCTCGATTTTTTTTTCTCGAGGAAATTTGACATTTTCAGAGGGAAGAAAGTTTTGAGCTGTTTGTTTCGCGAGAAAAACGAAAAAAAAAAAAGGAGTAGAGATGAGAGGTGCAAATGGAGAATCCAGAGCTATGAATAACACTTTGGAGACCATACATGCTGCGGCTAACGCGATCGCTTCAGCTGAGAATCGTGTTCCACAAGCTACGGTTCAGGTGAGATTTTAATTTTCTTTATGTATTTTTCCGTGCTGTGTTTCATTTAGTTTCTCTATTTGTTTTGTTTGCTGTGATTGTTTTGATTGAATTTAATTTCATTCGGTTGAGTTTCGGAAATGTTTTTAAGCTACTCTGGTATTCATTTGTGATCTGTTTTTTGCATGGTTTTTCTTTTTTTGTTCTTTGACTATGTTATGGTGATTGACTAAGCTTTTATCTTTAATCAAGTTTGGGATTTTTTTTGTCTGGCTTAAGAAAATATTAAGTTGAATCGTTTTGATTTTAGGCATGGATTTATTGAAAGTTGACTTGTTCCAGAATCAAGAGTCTGACTGTAGCTTGTGCATAAATTTAGAAGTCGAAGGTTTCTCTTCTTTTATAAGTTTTTTTTTTTTTCGTACTTCAAGTTCGATACATTCAAGGTTATTAGCTGTAGAACTTGTCTATTCAGGGATCTAAGGATACTCTGTGCTGATGAAACAGTGTTTATTACTAGTATATGCAGTTTCTCCAATATAGTTAGTGAAAATCTTTTAATCCTTTTGGTTTCTAATTTATCCAGAAAACTCAGGTGATCTTCTTCACCTCTTATTTCTACTTTTACTTTCATTTGGCAAAAGTCCCTAGATCAGAACTAAGAAAACAAATGAAAAGTAAAGCAGAGTTGATATTATACTATTTGGGATTCAGATATAGTTGTTAATTGGACAAGGTTGTCTTTGAATTTGTTTATATCATGCTCTGTTGGCCAGGATGAGGAAAGAGTTAATTAGAAGGTTTCAAATGTGTTGAGATTTCGGAAAACTAGAAACTTCAGTACATCCTATTTGGCTGGCTAAGATCAGCTTAATTCCATTTTCGACATCCAATGGATAATCATTGGTTCTGAAAATGAAACTGCTTGTCTGTAGATGTGATTGCCCTTGTTCTGGAGGTCTAGTTGAAGAATTGCCATTTTATAATCACTGAGGAAAACCTTTGCAAATACTTAAACAAGCAGTGGGAAGTGCTTCTGCTCCTTGGGCTTGGCTTAGATGGTAAAAGGGGGGCGATACAGTTGTAGTATCTTCTAGGTTAAGAGCTTTCCAATAGAAAAAAGAGCAGCATGCCTATACTCTTTCTGCCAAGGAGTTGGAAGTGCCCTTGTAGCATAAGGTCCAATAAGTTTTGAGCATATATGCTGCTTTAATATGTTTCAATACTTGATAGCTTTGGTAAAGCTTCAATGAGGAAGTGTTGTT